TGTGGGGCTGAGCTGGGACAGCCTGCGAGTGCTGCTGAGGGCGGACACAGAGGGGCCAGCCCAGACTGGACTGTGGGGACTGGGCCCTTCCCAGCAGGCTGCAGATCGGGCTGGGGCTGTGGGGGCTTGCTCCCAGCTCCCTGTGCCCAGGCCAGGCAGGGCTGTCATGGAGCTACAGTCAGCTGGAAAGGGCCTGATGGGGTCAGCCTGGGCAGACCCATGGGGGCAGGGCCTGGTGGCACGAGCAGCAGCTGCCCAGGCAACAGGCTGCCCGGGCTGGCTTGGAGGTGCTGGCGGGCCCCGAGCCTGGCAGGCACCTGCTGCAACCACCAGCACGCCCCCTGTCCTGTGCAGCACCACAAGCTGCATGCTAGCTGGGGCTGGCAGACCTGTTCTGCTTCCCTTGCCTCCAGCTGCCACTGCTGCCCCGCCCCTGCCGGGCCACTCTGGGTGGGTGGACAAGAAGCTTGAGCCCACCAGCTTCTGCCCAGTGCATGCAGCTCTGGTTCCAGCACCTGGACACCTTCCACCCACCCTGCCCACTCGGCACAATGAGCAGTCCCTGCAGGAGGGTGTAGCAGGGGAAAAGTGTCTGGGAGCTGGAGCCAGAGCTACATGCACTGGGCAGAAGCCACCGGGTTCAAGCTTCCACCCACCCAGGGCGGTGCTGTGCAGCACAGCAGGAGTAGGAATCACAGCTGGAAGTGAGGGGAGCAGAACAGCCCTACCAGGCCCAGCCAGTATGCAGCTTCCCCTTGCCTTGAGCAGCTCCTCCTTCTCCCACTCCTGCCCCTGCTGCTCTGCTCTGGGCAGTGGTAGGGAGGGGGAGTGGGGAGATGGGACATGGAGATCCGGTTCCAGCTCTGGCTGCCTTTCACCTACCTGGCATGATGAGCAGCCCCTGCGGGTGGGTGGAGTGGGTAAAAGGCATCAGGGAGCTGGAGCCAGATCTCAGCGTTGGGCCGAAGCCAGTGGTGATGCATGGGGGGTGCACATGCAGTCCCTGAGACTGTGGGTGCACCCCCTGACATGCTGCACTCCCCGCTTAGGCGATGGACAGGTAGGAGTGCCAGTGCCACCCCTGTGAGCACTGGCTGGGGAGTGGGATCACCAGATGAAGCACCACGGCCACTTCTGGGAGTGCCGCAGCTGCTTCCTGATTGGCTGCGGGGGAACCCCTCACCCCAGTCACTGACTGGTCACTGGAGGGGGGCATGTGCCCCCCCGACTAAGGTGGCACCAGTTGCTCACGGCTGAAGCTTCCCCTGCCTTCTGTCCCCACCATAGCCCAGAGTGGTGCAGCAGGGTCAGGAGTGGGAGGAGGATCTGCTGGAGGCAAGGGGAAGCTGTGCGCTGGCTGGATCCGGCAGGGCTGTCCTGTTCCCCTCCTTGAGGTTCCTGCTCCTGCTGAGCTGTGCAATGCCACTCCAAGTGGGTGCAAGATTAAGCCTGGCGGCTTCTGCCCAGTGCATGGAGCTCTGGCTCCAGCTCCCTGATGCTTTCCACCTGCTCCACCTGCCCACAAGGGCTGCTCATTGTGCCAGGCGGCCAGAGCAGGTGGAAGGTGTCTGAGAGCTGGAGCCAGAGCTCCATGTGCTGGGCAGAAGCCACCAGGCTCAAGCTTCCCACCCACCCATCCAGAGCGGCACAGCAGGAGCAGGGGTAGGGGCAGCAGGGGCAGCTGGAGGCAAGGGAGGCAGAACAGCCCTGCTAGCTTTGGCTAGCATACAGCTTGTGGTACAGCTGCAGCCGCCAGGTGCTGCAAAGGACAGGGCGTGCAGAAGTGGCTGCCAGGCTTGGGGACTGTTGGCACCTCTGATCCAGGCGGAGCAACCTGCTGCCCAGTCAGCTGCTTCCCGTGTCACTGGGCCCAGCTGCCACACAGCCACAGCTGGCAGGGAAGGGCTGAAGCCTGATGAAGGCCAGCCCCACTGGGCTCTTCCCAGCTGGTTGCAGCTCCCTGACAGCCCTACCCAGCTTGGGTGTGAGGAGCCAAAAGCAATCTGGCCATGCAGCCCCCGTGGCCCCAACCTAAGCCGCAGCCTGTTGAGAAGTGCCTGGCTCCTGCGGCCCAGCCCAGGCTGGCCCTGCTGTGTCCGTCCTTAGCAGCTCCCACAGGCCAGCCCAGCTGAGCCCCAGCCCCAGCCCCAGCCCCAGCCCCGGGTAGATAGCAGGGCCATGCCATCTGGCTCTGGCCAAGCTCCCCACCATGTGAGTAGTGAGGGGGAAAAGCCGAGCAGACTTGGCTGGGGTCCCAGTGCCCATGTCCAGAGGGGAGATGGGATTTTAATTCCTGCCTCCGCCCTGCTTTTCCTGAGATGCTGCCCAAGCTGATGTCTGGCCTCAGGGACAAGTCTGGCAAGGGCTGCTATGCCCCTGTCCCTCCAGGCACACCCTGGCTGTGGTCCCTATAGGCTGGGGGGGAGTTTAAACCCCTCCCCAAACATACTTAGCTGCTTGCCAGGGGCCTGGCCACGGCCCCCAGGTCAGCTTCCGTCCAGCCTTGCAGCTGCTGAGGAAGGGAAGGGAGGGCTGCTCTAGCATGCCTCCCCCCTTCCCTTGGCTTCTAGCCTGAGCCACTGCAGGCATGTGCCTGCCTGCCTTTCCTGTGTCAAAAGTGAATGTCTATTCACTTGCAAATCAGTTTAATCTTTGCATGTTAGACTAACCTGAAAAGATTGAATCAATTCAGACTCGGGCTTTTTGAATGTCTGTCCCTAGCCCAGGTCAAGAGTCCACTCTGCACCACAGAATAGCTACACAATTAGATCTGACTGGCAGAGGACTGGCATAGCAGTTGGTGCTGCAGTTCAGACCTTAGATTACACTGACTTTTGTAACACTGCAGGCATTATTTACCTAACCTCTTTCATTGTGTCAATAGTCTCAATCGATGCAACTTCCTCTAACAATAAATTTAATACTTGATCCCAATTCTTTGTTCTGTTCTTATGCTCAGAGCAGGGCCTGAGGGTTGGAATGAAGACAAAATTTAGCTCTACAAGCCCTGGTTTTCCTGCTTTATCCTCTAAGGACAGATAAGGCGTCTGGAAAAAATGAAACCCTCAGAGCTACTTCAACCTATGTACCCAAAGGAGCCTCTGCCAGGTATGAACAGCCAGGGCATCACAAAATTTGGTCATGTTCCCTACACAGGGAGCCAATGCAGCAGTTCCAGCAGCTCCCTGGAGGTACCATTTCATATTGTGGCTATTTCCTCCCCTGTTATATCACTGATGTAGCATTACAGAGCCAGACCACAGGGGGGAAAATGCAATATAAATTTTGGTACTGGAGTTGGTATTTTGTTTCTCTAAATTAATAATTTTGTCAAACACAGCCTGAAACTTTCATTTAAAATAACAAACAAGCAAACATTTTGTTTTCCTGTCATTTGCTACTTTGTCCTACAGCCTCTGTTGTATTGTGGTCCAGCACTTCCATTCTTATAAGCAGCTGGGAGTAGAAAGGATGTGGCTACATACAGGAATATAAGAACATGGGACTGGAACGGTAGCTCCAGGGTTGTCAAGGCCAATGTCCTGCATTCACAGGCAAGCATTAATCAAATGAATCCCTAAAGTCACTGCTTCAGACCCTCCCCTGCAACTATAAAGAGGCAAGATATAGGGTGTTTTTGATGTTTCATAACATGTCACAAGTAAATGCAGGGAAAACAAGGGCGTTGTCAATACCCTGCCACTGCAACGAGAGGGAAGTAGTTCATATATTCTCAGAAGAGGCTAGGTGGGGCACAGCACTCCACAGACTCATACCTGACCGGAGAGTGCAGGCTCTACTGATCTTAAAGTGGTCTGAAACTTGCCCCACAACACAGAACATATGGTTTCAGTATTCAAGAGTGACTAGTGACTTGAGGATCCTTAAGTGTCCAATGCTCATGAGTTACACCTGAGTGGGACCAATGTTCAGACTGCTAAGGACTCCTGCTTTGCCCTGTTGAGGTGTATCTGGTGGGCTCCCAGAACTTGACTCATCACTAGTTTAGCTCCAGTTAGGAGCCTGGCCGTGACATGTAAGTAGGAAATGAATGACAAGTGCCGTAATTCTCAGCTCCTAAGGGGAGGATGGAGGGTTCTTAATTAAAGCTTTCAGGAAGCAGGGGCAGCGTTATAGTTCAGGAAGTGTTTGGAACAGCTGGGAATGACTGAAGTCCTGATGTCCCATGAGCTGTGGGAAGTGGCTGGGTAGCTCCCAGCATGGGAGGGTCTAGGATTTGGACAAGGGGGGTGCAGATGATGTGGTGCATCATCCCATATAAACACAGCACACATTTTTCTTCAGTCAAAAGGAAACTAGAAGCTTCACTAATAGAGAGGGGCCTAGAGCTGCATCATTCGACTGAAGATGGAATCGTAAAAACAAAAATCTTTATTGTCAACGTGCATTCATTCGCTATATCATATATTATGTTTCGAAACAACAGACCAGGTGCAACTACTCCAAAGATGCTGCTTCATTAGTCCTAGAGTCATTATAGTTCAATGTGCATCTCTTTCAGGTGCACAGAACAAAAGCAAGCCTTGCTGAGCATCCGGACAGTGCCGGGGCAGTGGCATGGAAAGGGATTCCCGCCCCCGAGTGAATGTTTTTAGGTAGGGCTGAAACCCAGTCCGCAGGGCGCTGAGGGTTACCGGGAGCTCAGAGCCGGGGGAAGGCGGGATGGCGGCTAACACCTGTGGAAGGAGTTCAGCGGGGATGGGGCAGAAGCCGAGGAGCCGGCGGCCCCGGGCACGGCCCCTCGCAGTGCTGCGGCCGCCGCCGGGCAGCGGCGCGCTCTGGACGCAGCGAGGGGTGCGGGGGTCGGCGCGCGGCTCCGCGCAGCCCCGGCGGGATCCGTGACCAGACCGGCCGAGGCGTTACGAAGCCCCGGGCAGGGGCAGAGCAATCGTGCGGGGAAGCGGTGCCCCGCGCCAACAGCCCTCCCCCCCGGCAAGCATCGCTGCGCCGGCGCCGGCCCCCGGCCGCCCCGCACTTACCCATGGCCAGGCAGCGGCTCCGCCGC